ATTACTTGGTTAATTTATTTGACTTGACGGAATCGAAAACAAATTCTCTCCCTCCATAATTTTGCAAATGTAAAATATCAGGTTCCGTACAACGTATTATAAACGCTTGACCGTCTGAGCAACCTAAATAGCAGGCTGTTTTTTTCAACGACTTAACCAGTTAGCTAGCTGGAGTGGGAAATTCTAGCATACCCATATTAACAGCGGTTTTTCGCTTATTATTTTTCATACACGAAAGTCACATTCGAGCACTCGCACCATTCGAACACCGTGGTACATTATATCATATTTATATACATAGAGCAAGAAAACAAAACTAACGTACATAACAGTTATATTTCTGAATTATGGTTTCAATATGCATATTGTTCATTTAAATACAACTGTACTCCAGTATTCTACAGTCTGGCTTTAGGAATAATTGCCAAAATAACTTAACATTAATTATCAGTACTAACTCCTTTCCTCATTGCAAACCAAATTAATTAATACAAATTCAATAATTACCCGACAGGCCACACCAAAGTAACCAATAACTGATCATGCGTTAACTTACAAATACATACACAAACTCTAGACGCAAAGCATTTTTCACCATGTGTTACCTTGTTTGTTTTTTTCCCATAAGTTATGTTATTTCTTACATTATTTCAAGTCAAATAAAATATTCTTAAAATATTTTTTCGAATTCATGCATTTATGACGAAATTTGACAATTTTTGTTTGTTGTAATACCAGATACCACTGTTTATGTCAATCTGCACATGTGTGGGGCGCCCTCAATTGACAGGACCATGAATTGTGTATGCTTGAGGGCATGCTACGCAAGTTTGATTTTGATGTGGGGGTATATGTATATTTTTCAAAATATTCATTAAATTTCACTTTAATTTCTGTAAAGTCTTTCTGTGGTTACAATAAGTTTTTATCTGATCATCTTCAAATTTAGGAATCTTGTCAATCAGTACGAAATGTTAACCCTAGATAAATTTTGATGTGACTAGTAAAATATGGGATAAAATTTGGGTTTCCAGAGCCAATAGGGCTCAAAACCCTAATAAACACAACAAATAACAAAAATGTTTTACCCCCATAGGACCCAAAACCCTAAATACTAGAGTAGTATTGCAAGCAATGGCAACAATGTGTCAAACTGGTCTCGCAAATCAAACGCTGCATACATTGGGAAGATCTATACCGATTTGGTACACTGCGATTTAGTTTTTACTACTTAGTAATGACACTAATTATCAAAAATAAAAAAAAAGTGAAATTTAAGTCACATTGGAAAATTATTCAACTGCAGACGAGATGGCCAATGGGAGAAAAAAAGGAACGCTAAACTCTGAAAATACCTCATTCATAGAGTACGTTAGTACCGTGACATTGCAACCGATGCATGCTGGGTTAACAAGGATTCTGATCGAGGTATACCTCATTAATAGAGTGCCTTAGTAATCTAAGTTGACATCTTGCATGGTGTGACATCACAACTGATGCATGCTGGGTTAACAAGGAGGATTCCGATCGTGGTAACAACATGGTGGCTCAGAGTGCATGAAAATATCTTTTGCAATTTTGATGTAATGTCTAAGATAATTGTCAAAGAATTGTTTTAATTAACGAAACATTCTAAATTTGTGTATTTCGCAACAGCAGCAGTGAATACCCATTCAACGCAGTGTTGTCAGCTGACAATGTTATGGTGATTGTAGTGTTAATCACAAGGTATAGGTAATGAAAAATCGCTGACTTTTGAAATGCTGCTGTAGTAACAAATTTTGTCATTGATTTATTATTTATTATTTCATCATATTTTGATAACGAAATGATCGAGTGATCAAAAATAATCACTCCGGATAAAAATAAGTCAGATTTCAATTTTATTTCGTATCAAAAAAAAAGTAACATTTTTTGAGGAATTATTGGTATAACCGGTGTATAACATCGCCAAGTAAGTTATGTCACGTCGTAACTTAGATGATCGTTTTGAAGTTTTATTTGTTCGCTCATTACTGTAAATGTAAACGTTTTAGAAGTTGATGGTACGAATAATAAATTACAACAATACGCCAATGGAGTGAATAAAATCATGAAATTTGTGAACATATTTCTGGCTTGAATATTAATTTTTTAATGTAATTATGACTTCATTGTTCTTGTTTAGTTTTGGTCTGAATTGTTGCCACCAAAATTTCAGCAAGTATTCTCAGTGCAAAATGTTCATATTGATTCAAAGACTTTTATATTCAACTTTGCCATGCAAAAACAAAATTTGTACATTATTAGTTTGTTATTAAGCCCCGTCCATGTGTCAGTCCATATCATATCTCACTGATGCTTTGACAGTCTAAAGTTTTCACACATTTCAGACATTTTATCTGACATATGCACATGCGTTTGTTAAATGATCAGATTGTAGATGACTGAATACATCAAACTTGCAATTTGTTACCATTAGGGAACTGGATCTCAGTCTTGCCTGTGCAGATTCTGTTAATGGGATCATTAAAACATCATTTTGTTTTTTAGATCAGGTTCAAAATGACTGACTGATGGCCATCAGACATTATGTCTGACATAAGCACATGCATTTGGTAAACTTGGTACATACATGTATTTACATAATGGTACCTTAGTGCACTCCATTTTATTTTTCAGACATGGTTCAAAATGGCCGACTAGTGCGTCTATAATACAAATGGAGACTATGTCATTGACAATGACTTGTTCATATTTGTTTTCAGGTTTCCAAAATTGTAAAGTCCAGAAACACAAGAAATGGAGTTTTGTATCTGATAAGATGGAAAGGTTATGGGCCCAGTGATGATACATGGGAGCCAGAGGAACATTTGGTAGACTGTCAAGATGTGTTAGAGGAGTACAAACTGGTAAATAAATGTGTATAGTATGTCTGGAAGATACCTGTGATTGCCAAATCCTACCTTACTTTACTATTTATGGAAAAAAGATGTACATCTATAATGTTCCCTAATGTTTTGGTATTGTTGTTAACTCCTGGGTTCAACATTCACTTGCCCCATACTTGTCATAACACAAACATAAGTGCCGGCATGTGGCAAGAAAAATAATGCTTTAAAACAATGCCTAAAAATTGTAAAATTTTCTCAGTCAAGCAGATGTGAACCATTACCATCTTGAATTACTTAGTTGAACATGAGGCACTATGTTACTGAAAGTTCATCACCATAAATGACCTGATGCATGAATTCTTATTTTTGATTGGGCAACCACTTGACCCTATGTCATAATTTCTTGTGTACATGTAGTTTAAAGTGAATGGCCAGGACATTGAAGCTTTCAGTTGTTTTGAATTTCTGATTACATCTAAATTAATCTAACAATGACCTTATGACTGTGAGAAGCAAGAGTACATGTACCTCGTATTTTGAATGCCCCTCATTGTAAAAACGTGGATGTCAGTGTGTACATTCACTGTTGTCACTTGAATGTGAAATTCTCACTAAATATGCAGATGCTATATCATAGCAGATGTTGCATTATTTGGTTTAATCCAAAACATTACTGGTATTCTTTTTTGTGCTCCTAAAAAAATAATTATTTTTAATAAATTAAATTAATGATTTTTATGGTACACAATAAAAAGGCTTCTTCATTATTACATATGTACTGCAGTTTATTTTGATTCGTCCCTGAAATCAAAATAAGTATTTCTACACCTCATATATAAATGAGGTCTGAGAGCAAACAAAATAGTCCCTTAAGGAATACCGTTTTTCGAAACATAGCAGAAATAAATATTTAGAAGCACAACATTTTTTCTTTGGGGTACATGAATATACTTGTCGAGTGAAATGAACAGTAATGATATTTTTAGGCAGTCACTTATTTTGACAAAAACTAATTTGCATACCACCCATGCAATAATGTTTTCGGTATTTTCACGGTCAATATGCTAGTGAACATGATATTTCCATTGGTTACTAAACTATTTTATTTTGTAAACACATTTTCGTCTGCTATTTTTGTCCGGTTCAAATTTTTGGCATATTAGGTGTACCAGGAGTGGGACATTTGTGTTGATAAACATGGATTTTCCCACAATCCAATGCGCTCTTCAAATGGAAATTACAAGTATGAGGTTTGACCTGGGCGCGACTTGCACTGATTACCGCCGGTGACTCCTTCGATACCTTCCAATCACATGAATATTACCTAATTACAGCTTGGAAACGTGTCAGTTCATACTCGTTGATCTGCACAACAGTCAAAGTCGCCATCTTTGTTTATATGAGACCTATATATCGACGACTGCCGCGCTTTAATGTATGTTGACCACCTCGGAAAATCCACCCGCAGTAAAATCAGCCATTACTATGGAGCCGCAACCATCAACATCGAGATACCAGGAGGTTTCTGCTGGCGACGTTGCAGCGGCGTTACTCAGTTCCAAATAAAGATTACCAATGCCGAATGAGCAACATTTTAACCAGTAATCAAGACTCAGTCAATCCACAACCAGCAAGCAACATCACAAACAAATTTGTAGCTGTCGATAAAAGTCATCTTGTCACTAGAGTACCGCAGTTGCACGGCATGTTTGCCAATGTACAATTCTGTGGTGGAACTTTTAACTTCAACATGAACTGTGTATCATAGTCATCAAGTTCAAGTTCTGGTTCTGTCTTGGTCCCAACTAAGTGTACATGAGTTATTTATTCGGACAGTGACTCAGATTAGACGTCTGATTATTTTATTTTCACACAAACAGTTACATGAGTTCTACACTGACATGCGTTGCTAGAGCGCAACACTATCTCAGAACATATTAATGGGCAATGGGGTTCCCGACCTAAATTCCATCCTGGTTTATTGTACGTTCTTTTTTTATTACCGGATTCTGCCCAGGGCCGTTAAACGGCAGTTCGGGTTTAAAAAAAAATAAAATGGGACCAAGAAATCACCCAGGGCAGTTTTTCAGCAGTTTTTCAATCTTTTCTGATGCCTAAAAATTTTGCCGTAGTCAATGACGGCTATGCATGAGTATTGATGTTTAAGCTTCGTTTCGTCAATGAGCTGTTATCGCTGTAAACAATGTTAAATTATTCTTCAAATGCTCAGTTTATCTTTTAAAAACAAAAAATTTTTTGTTTAAAAAAAAAAAATCATGCAGTTTTCCATCTAAATCCAAGCCAAAAGATCGTACTACAATATCAGCAAATCTCTTCTCTGTTGCGTTCAATAACATTAACATATTTAAATGAGCTACTGTAATTTGAGCGCGATGGCATCATCCACCATTTTGATTGGTTAATTAGCGATTTGACCTATCAAAGAACTCTGTTCCAGGTCAAAACATGGCGGATATACTCCAGCATCGGGCATTTATATGCGAACAGAATCATTCGCTTACGATGAAACTAAGTTGAAATTTATTTGCATTTCATAACAATTCAACAAATTTATTTTTTGCATGTTATTATAATCATTAGTAGGTAATAATCAACAATTGTGAAACGCAGCATGACCGGATTGCGCTACCACAATCATTTGCTACTAAGCAATGCAGTTGGGTTTGTTGTTATTTGAAACTTCTTTTAGAATATACTTCCGTTATAAAGTGAAACATAATAATTGTATTTGGTGCACAATGTTCGTTAATGTGATTTTTCGGATGGGCGAATTTACGACAGAATCCGGTATGAAATAATCAAATATGGAACATATGTAATAATATCAGAACCCCACACACTCCCTGTGGCTTTCGTTGCATATGGAAGATATTTTCATGTGAGATGTAGTGTATTTGCTTCCCTCATGAAAGTACAGCCGCAGGATACACCGCATCTCTCGTGAAAATAACTTCTATCTGCAACGAAAGCCACGGGGAGGATGTGGGGTTCTGTGATAACATTGTGTGAAATACTTTCTTTTTATCTAGAAACAAAGCAATCTGAAGGTACTGCACCGGAAGATCCCAGCGCCAATATCACCTGCCAGAAGAACTAAGTCTGTCACAAAGGTCCAGAATAAAACAAGTGTAAGTAGAAACGCTAAGAAGAAGGTATCAACTCTGTCTACAGCAGTTCCACATACTACCTCAGAAAATGTGCTTGCTAGTAAAAAGACAGCTGGCTATACAAGTACAGCCACAGTTGTCATTGCTGCGAAATCAAACTCAAGCAGAATGAGTGAACAGACTGAAGATTGGGATGTCACACCGCATATTCCACCTATGTCTGTACTCAGACGACCACCTATTAAGGTACCAGTTGGTTACTACTGATGTACTTGCATGCACAAAAGCTTCTTGTGTAGTGCCTTGCTGCTTGCTAAGCCTTAATGTTATGTGTTTCTCCCAAATAGCCTCAAATAGAAGTATACTTATAATAACTTATGTGATGCCTTCAATATAGCACATCAAATTTCCACACAAATAATCAATGTTCTGATGTAGACATAAAAAGCACATTGGGGTTACATATGATTCTAATGTGCTTTAAATAGAGCAAATATCATATTTATACTTTTATTGGAGGTGCAATCATAAGAGACAAATATTGTACATGTACTTTTAACAGGAAATCTGCTTACTATAATGCTTTACATATGCTTGCCCGTTGTATGCTAATTGATTTGCCAACAAAATAAGATTTGTTCTGATAGATTGGTACATGCCAATAGTGTACATAAGACAATGTCATTCAGTATTCATTTATCTTCCTCAAATCTTGTTTCGCTTAACGCAAATACTACTGATTTGGTACACATATGATGAATTATAATTTAACCTTTGAACATGTATATCACACATACCTGAATCGTTTGCTTTTTGTATGTTTATCAAAATCAAGCATTTCTGTTCTGGTCATGTATTGTATGCATTTCAGTCAAATCTCTAGTACACACATTAGGCAGTATGGAACCTTTATACATGTTAGTTTGTTTTTAATTAGATTTGTTGCAGAGTTGTATACATGTATCTCTGACATACCCTGATTCAACATGGCCAATTTATTTGAGTTCAGTTCACTTTTGACAGGATTGATTTCTTTTTGTATCTTAATAACAATCTGCTCATATCAATTGGAACTTGATACTACAGAATCAGAAACAAATCTTTTTTTTTCACAAGAAAAGCACAATTTCAATTACACGTGAATTTAAATGTGTGTAACCATGCTTGGTTAATATGTAATTCCTTACAATATTCACTCAATACCCGTGTTTATTCAAGGATGTTGAGGGAAGGGTTGGTATTGTTCAAAGTAGCATTACAAATTACATCTATTTATCATTAATGAGAAAACAATTAGTGTTGAATATGCACAAATTCATTCAGCACCAGTGAAGTTGTTTACATATTTTTTTTTTTTATAATTTTAGCTGATAAATACTGGCAATGTGTACTTTGAAATTATCTTGTTATACATCAGCGTATTGCTTCCTGGAGTTTTAAATATGTTGTGTCATTGTGTCATTATTCACAACTTGCTAATCACTCTGTATACAGACAAATGCAACACTTGCAAGATTACTATGCCCAATATTAGTATTAAAATGTGAAAAAATGCAAAACATGCTCCCAAATTTTGGCATTCAATTTGTACATTATTCATTCACTCAGTTTTGTGAAATCTTTGTACACCAATTGGTAAAACGGGTATACCCGGGTACATTGGAGAAATATATTTACTGTTTTGTTGACTAATCATATTTGTTTTTTTAGTCATTTAACAACCGAAGTGCTGAAAAAACTGACATATTGACAGCCAGGAGAGTGTTGGACATGCCGAAGAATACAACGACGTCATTCTTTAAGAGACATGAAAGAACTTTTTTCCTGCTATTTGCTACTTTGATTTTATCATTGACCTTATTTGCAATAAACCAGAAGCAAATAGAAAATATTTTTTAACTCAATTGAAAATAATTTTTATATGAACCCAATATTACTTGACTGCCCATATTTGTATTGAATATGGCTACCCACTATGGCTGCCTTTAGTTGATTAGTGTGGTATGGTGTTTCGTTTGAGAAATTCCAATCATCAATGTCACTGTTTTTCATTTCAATTTAGGTTTCAAACCTTATTGTTGTGAATACATGTGTGATTAAATTTACGTGGTTAAAAACTGTATATTACATTAAAACTGCCATTTTTAAACATATTTCTACCTCAGGTATGAACTTTTACTGCTAGTTTTTCTGACAAACCACAGAATACAACTTTCCTGCTTGATTTCACTATCTACATTTTATTTATTTGTTTTTTATTCATTTCTTTTAATAGATTTTTAATAAATGAATTCCCATATACATATTTGAAATGAAAACAAAACTACAAACCAATATTGTAAATATGACTGCATTGCTAAAAGTCGTTCAGTCAAGAACAGTTAGTTTATGGTTAGTTTTAGTTGTATAATAGACATATTGCATATTAATGAGGTTATTGCATACTAATAAGACTATTTTGCATATTTATGTGGTTCTGCCTTGACATGCCTTGTTGCATATGTAAGGTAGGGACAATCTTAAACTTCTGTATTCTACAAAGTTTATTTTTTCCATTTCAGATTTTGGATCAACATTGTTTTTTTAAACCTAACAAAGAAATAAATGTGTTTTTTCAAGCTTTGCTGTCACTTGTTACTGAATAAAATCTACCGGTATATAGTGGAAGAAGTACTTGCATACAAAATGCAATCGTTGTACAGTGCAGTGCAGTGCGTTAGTTTGATCACGTACTGCCAAAGTACAGTATTCCTGTGAATAGCATAATTTGGGGAGATGCATCCAAATAGGGAGTAAAAGCATTTTAGATTCGTGCTTCCAAAACTGTCTTTTCTGTTCCATCGCGTGTTAAGTTTTCAAATGTCCATACAGGTTTTTAGATTGCTACGATACTCCCATTCAGTTGTTTACATAATTATACAATTTTGATAAACTGTCTGGCCTTGTAATAGGTACACATGCAGCGGCTGGCATCAGTTGAAGCCAGGATAGTAAATTAGTCATCTTTTTGCCAGTGTAATAGTAAAATGTATTACTTAATTCAAAATGGGGACAAGTCCACATATGGAGCCTTCTGATTAGATAAAACCCTGGACAAACAATGAACATAGTATTAACTTTAATACTGCTTTTATTTAAATTAGTCATTCTTCCCACTTCTCTGCGAGTAAAATATAAAAACTGTATTCACATCTCTTGTCGTAAACCAAAACCCTCTTTCGAAAGTGTCCCCGTTCCACTAATATCTCGAGAACCATACATATTGCTTAATTTGCTAATTTTTAGCTGTTGCACTGATATCTGAAGAGCAACTAATGATGAAACTTGGTGCATAATTGCTCTGGACTAATGCCCAGATTTGATTAGTTTTTAGATAAAAGTCCTTGCATAATTAATCAATTTTCAGCTTTTTCAAATAGTAATTATTGAATTTCAACTTGGTACATACTATAGGACTATGCAGAGACCTGTTTAGGTTAAATATTAATCAAATTGCCTAATGACTGTTTAATAATCGTCATAATCTAGCTAACATACAAACAAAAGACAATACATTTATTTCCTCTAATCACACATCTACAGAAAAGAATATTGCATATGACAAATTGGATATGAAATTGAGTGATTTATTAATAAACCAACATTGTCGTAAATTAACTCAAGGGATCAGTTTTGCATCCAACACTATGCAAGACTAAAACCAGTCAGCCATTTTGTATTAACTATACAAAGTATGTGTAAAGTTTGATTTGATTCCAGAGAGTTGGAAATACTTGGTTGGTTTGGTTTAAAATGCACACTATTCGGCAATCTTGAATTGAATAAGCATCAACAGACTATGATATACAAGTAATTACCTTGTAGTACTCGTGCGTATGACTGAATTCACATTAGTTGTTTGTACAAAACACAATTTTAATAAAGTTTATGTTCCAAATTTTTTCATTTTTAGACTTTCTGGAAGTGATTCCAGCATCATTGGTCTTGGTCTCTCAACAGCAACTAACACATTGTCTTTTAAAGCATCTAAGAAGAGTAGTGGCTGAAATGAAATTGAAAACAAAAAAACATTTAAACTTGATGCAGTCTACTAATAGTCATTAAAACAATACATTAATAAGACTATGTTTTCCTGTTGGCTTGATGTATCACAAACATAATACCAACACAAAAGAAAGCAATGACCTATTTAAATGAGTCAATTGAAGTCTGTGTAATTAGTATGATGGAAGAGTACATTAGGAGAGTAGTGTTACAGTTTTTGCTGCTTGCAAGACACTCATAGACATGTCAGTTTATTGTGTTGAATGAGATTGGTCAAGGGATGTCAGAGATACGGTCCTGAAAAAACATTAATTAAAACAAAATGGCCACCAGAAGAAATGTGAATGAATTATATCCATGCACAACTAAGATCTGCTTCTGGAATTATGGCAGAAATGACTGATTTTGACAAATATTTAGCTCGAAATTTGCAATCGGCCATCTTGAATTCATTCATGACACAAAGCGATATGATTATGTATGATATGATGTGCACGTAAAGTTTGAATGTAATTGGCTCAGGCATGTCTGAGATACAGTTAGAATTATATCCATCACACATGGACACATCAAAGTGAAATTACAAGGCCTTGTTTATCGGACTACTTCTAAACAAATTTAATGATTGAGAACTTGGATTGGACCATTCATTTACACCTGCAGTATGCATGGATATTTACCAAAGTCACAATCAACAGGATTTACATGCACGACTAATAACCTGACATATAGGCAATGTCTATACTCACATTATATTTATGACAAAACACAGCTTCCTTTTTTCCACTTTTCGTATTATGGAGATCTTCATTGCCTGTAATCTATAGGAATGCATAGGATTAGTTACCACAGAGCCTGTGGAAAACATGCTTAGGATGAAACATGTTAAATATAACTGCGTCTAATATTTCTCAGTCATACTGGATAACTTTAGGAGTCATAGTGGTCAGTTTTCTCAGTCATAGTGGTTAGTTTTCTGAGTCGTACTGAGCAGCCGACAGACACTAATATTCAAATGAAATAAAAAATGTCAAATCTTCTAATGTACATTGTGATAATCACCAACCTTCTCAGTGATATTAGATTTTGTTTTATCAATAACAGCAAACATATCATGTGCCTGCAAGATGACCATATTTGGATTAGTTGGACTGAAGCCAATTTTCATCACTTTGCCTTGTCTCAGTTTCCACATCTTGGATAGACTGTGATTACTGGCTTTGCTCCAATTACTGTATTCTTTCTTGGTTATATCGTATTCAACAATCTGCACAGAAAAAGGTGATATACAAGCGCATGACACAAAGGCTAGAATAATCCATGGGTGTTTATGCCAGTCTCAATGTACCACTAGATTTGAAAGCCAAAGTGCACAAAATCTATTTACAGGTAGTTATGAAAAAAATGGAATAACTTTCGAAAAATGTTATTTGGCCTATAGCATAAATCTTGATAAGTTTACATGGAAATATGCTGTGTATAAATTTTTCATCAGACAAAGCATATACAGGTCATCCCCCTGGGTTGCATATACCCTCCAGATCACAACAACCCCCCCCCCCCGGTAGCATATACCCTCCAGATCATATCCCCGGGTTGCATATACCCTCCAGGTCATGTCCCTGGGTAGCATATACCCTCCAGGTCATCTCCCCGGGTAGCATATACCCTCCAGGTCATCTCCCCGGGTTGCATATACCCTCCAGGTCATCTCCTCGGGTTGCATATACCCTCCAGGTCATCTCCTCGGGTTGCATATACCCTCCAGGTCATCTCCCCGGGTTGCATATACCCTCCAGGTCATATCCCCGGGTTGCATATACCCTCCAGGTCATCTCCCCGGGTTGCATATACCCTCCAGGTCATCTCCCCGGGTAGCATATACCCTCCAGGTCATATCCCCGGGTTGCATATACCCTCCAGATCATGTCCCTGGGTAGCATATACCCTCCAGGTCATCTCCCCGGGTTGCATATACCCTCCAGGTCATCTCCCTGGGTAGCATATACCCTCCAGGTCACCTCCCCGGGTTGCATATACCCTCCAGATCATGTCCCTGGGTAGCATATACCCTCCAGGTCATCTCCCCGGGTAGCATATATCCTCCAGGTCATGTCCCTGGGTAGCATATACCCTCCAGGTCATCTCCCCGGGTTGCATATACCCTCCAGGTCATCTCCCTGGGTAGCATATACCCTCCAGGTCACCTCCCCGGGTTGCATATACCCTCCAGGTCATCTCCCCGGGTTGCATTTACCCTCCAGGTCATCTCCCCGGGTTGCATATACCCTTCAGGTCATATCCCCGGGTTGCATATACCCTTCAGGTCATATCCCCGGGTTGCATATACCCTCCAGGTCATCTCCTCAGGTTGCATATACCCTCCAGGTCATCTCCTCAGGTTGCATATACCCTCCAGGTCATATCTCTGGGTTGCATATACCCTCCAGGTCATATCCCTGGGTTGCATATACCCTTCAGGTCATATCCCCGGGTTGCATATGATATTTAATGATATTTATCTCATAGTTGTACTTGTTTATGGGCTGACCAACAGGTAGTCCCAGTGGGGAAATGATTGGAAAATTATGCAAATTATTGGTTCCCTTTGTTTTCCAAATAATTTAAAAACATTTGTTTGCTTTCCTCTATCAAATGTTTTTTTCTATAGAAATGTTTGTTTTAAAATTGTACACACCCCTCCAAGATTTTTTAATAAATCAACCCTTAATTAACTTAATTCATTTGTGGGATTCAAATTAATGGCAATAATTTCCAATTCACTATAACACTGGATTCTCACCTTTTGATTGCAGTAGACTACCATTAGCATTGAATTATGTGGACTGAATCCCATAGAACATGGTTGAGTAGATAACTGTGGTAAACTACAGTGATGCTGAAAGAAAAAAGAAATTTAAAACAGATATATATATATCTGCATAACCATGAAAAAAAAAATTTGCAGACTTGATTTTACTCCCAATGAAAAATGACAATTTCCTCTCATCAGGTAAATGGGAAATAAAACATTGTTTTACAAAATGAATTTGGTCATCATAGTTTTCCACATACAGCCATTTTTACACAAATGTACACACTATATTATTTACATCAGTAGCATCTGAATTCAAAAGTTTATTTGCAAACACACAATGCATCAAGCCTGTTATTCACCAATTAGAATACTGTATTGTATGAATATTGGTGATGTCAACACAAAGTAAGATTTGTTAACATAGTAGTACAAGACCTACAGTAAAAAAAATTGTTGTGAATCATCATTCATTAATCTCACCGTATATGCTTCAATGTTATATACATTGATTTGACTAGCATGGTTACCAACAGCAACATAACATCCATCCTCAGTGACTGACAGTAAATGTATTGGTTGACAAACTGCAGAAAATGTGTGCAGTATCACAGGCTGAAGATTATCTACTTGGACAATTTGCACAGTACAGTCTCTTGTACCTATGATCAGTTTGCTACTATCCCGTGTAAACATCATGCAGTGAGCTGGAGACAGGTCTGAGGGTAAACCAGCAACCTGGAACCAATGTAACACATACATTAAATATAAATATACAATTTGATAGAAATTCTGAATTCTAAAATTATTTTGAAAATAGCCAAAAACTATTAAGGAATGTCTGAAAATAAATTAAGTTTTAGCGGAAAATGACAATTAACATAATGTGGGAACACAGTCAAAATCTTCATCATTATATACATTATCGAATGATTATACACAATCTCTCAATCCCGCCAAAATTGTTAACCCTTAATGCATTAACGCATTATTATTGTTATTACTTTTTAACAATGGTTTCTTCTACCTTTATTATTGCTGTAGTGGGATTTATTACTATTCATGTTTTTTTATTAGTTTTTAATCATTACTTTTATAGTCTTAATGTTTTGTATTATTAGTCTAGTTTTGTTTAGTGTAAATGTAACCATTTTAATTCCTCCTGGGGAATTTTATGTGTTTAATAAAGTATAAGCTAAGCATTTTTAGATATGTTTTCTTATACGATTTGATCTGCAACAACGTTCTTTAACCTGATAGATCAAGTCTGTTATTAACCAATCAGAATGCTGTGTTGTACATGCACCATTGCAATTCTTTGGGAATTCTCAAAGGCATTCAGGTAGCGTAATGCGGAAGAGAACTATCGATGTTGAAGTTGATTTTTGGAATTGATTTCAGTGATAAAACAGCATGAATTAAAAAAAAACTAGTAACTAGCAATGGATTAAATATAGATTAAGTATTGACTGCCTTTCATGGCTATTACCAGGTTATTGTCGAAGTGTAGTTTACGTACAGTTACTGTGGTCTATGTATTCGCACGATACCCACAACCGTAGATATCCATACTGTATTATGTAAATTAATTACCGATATTAGGAAAAGTCAAACAATGCTCAAGGACCAGGTTTTATGACTAGACAGTCAACTTTGGAGCATTTTGGAGGGGATGGGCGATTAACCAAATGTGACCCTGACAATAGAAATGTGGGAGGTAAGTGTTTACCTAAGCATGGGAGCTAAGTCAGACAAGCATGGTAGCTCCAATACACACAATTTTGACAGTCAGGGGTTTCTTTTCTCAATGTAACATTTTAGCAAAATAATTTTCAACAAAAACTGACATTACACATGAAAATTAAATTGAAAAAATCCTATTTAAAAACTGACTTTAGTTTATATAACAAGAATTATTTACTTTGTGATCAAAATAAGCTTGCTGTCCTTGATTAAATATTGAAATTTTGACATATACACTTTGTCCTTTGTCTATGACTAGTACTATCATTCAGAGATCAGATCAGACAGCAGGAGATAATCAGACCAAACAATTGGGCCATAAAACATGGAGTGTTGCACATCAGTGTAAAATCTAGAACATCGGTATACAGTTACCTTGGTAACAGAAGGTGTATCCATGGTGATATGATACATTCTTATCTTGGTTATATCAGAGTAAACTATCCAACTACCACATTTGCTAATAGCACTGCAAACTATCTGATCGTTTCCCTGGCAACAGGAAGAGAAAATATCAAATGATGCAGATCATACAAATATTTATATAGTGAATAATAATGCCATAAATATTTATCAAGATAGCACAGGTCAAAGGTATTGCGGACAATATCATTATTTTTGTTTACCTTTGCTTTCAGCTCCAATAATTTAGAAGGTTTTCTGAGCAGCGGTAAAACATCACCATCATCACCATCTCCACAAACGAAACAGAAATATTTTTAATTGTAAAAACAGTTTGAGCAATATGTAGTATCATTATCCCTATGTAGTCATGTGACACTTTGTGTACAACCACTAAGTTTAAACTTAACACCTTTTGGCATATTGAGGCACGAAATTTACCAACTAGCAGCCATTTTGTTCATCAGAAATACTTATTTTTGTTCATTTCAACTTATAACTTTTAAATACAATTACTAAGTTTATTTAGATTTTGTATTTTATGAATTCGCACGTTGATTTGTGTCACAATACAATCCAAGATGGTTGACTGGGTGCCATAGACCATAGTGTATTGTGGGATAGTTATGACTGAATCAAACACAACTCTGCCAATCATAAAGTGCGTCTGCTCCCACAATCTGTTAACTATCAGACAATCCACTATAATTTGGAATTGCAAATATGTTTTACATTTTGCCAACATAAACACATTCATCTGGCAGTTCAACTCATTAGAACTCATATAAATGCTGACATTTCATTGGTCATGTATTAATGTACAAAAAGAAAGGGGGCTGTGACATTCTTAATGGCATGTTATATCTTAGAATGCCATTTTCTGAGCTGAGTCTGCTATTTGTGATGCACAACATGAAAACAATGTGATTTACATCAAAATTTATAATACATACAGAAAACACATTTGATTTTTCATCCATGGTTTTTAGTCTAATAAATTAATTAGAGTACCTCTGTGATGAATTCAATTTAAATCTGATATTTTAAGATATCAGGAATAGGCTGATAATAGATAAACAATATGCATGTTTATCAACATTAAACTAATCACGTCTGTGGACTACCTCAATGAACCAAATGAATTATTATACAAATTAAGCAATTATTATTCATAAATTTAGGTCTGTATATTGTTTCAGGGCGCACATGTACAAAGTTTCATTACAATGTGATGATCAATTCTAACTAAATCAGTGGTAAGCTGGAAGGTAAATTATTATAAAAATTGTTCTAGAAAATTTATGTACCAAGTTTCATTGAAAATAATGAAGTGATAGTACTTGAAATATCAAAAGCTGAAAATTGATTAATTATGCAAATTAGGTAATTAACATTTCACATATCTGTGCACTGTCATATGATTAGTACCCGAGATATCAGTTAAAAAGTTGTAACTAATTAATCATTATGCAAATTAGGTTAATTATATGAATAGATTTTTACCCAAAACTAATTAAATTTGTGCATTAGTCCAGAGCATCTATGTACCAAGTTTCATCAAAATCCAATGAACGGCTCTTTAGATATCAGTGGAACAGCTTATAATTAGCTAATTATCATGCAAATTAGGTTAATTATATGCAAGGATTTTTACCCAAAACTAATAAAATCTGTACATTAGTCCAGAGCATTTATGTACCAAGTTTCATCAAATCCAATGAATGGCTCTTTAGATATCCATGGCACAGTCATGGAACAGCTAAAAATCAGCTAATTATCATGCCAATTTGATAATTAATATGCATGGATTTCAACCAAAACCTAATCAAATCTGCGCATTAGCCCAGAGCATCTGTGCACCAAGTTTCATAAAAAACAACATATGGTTCTTGAGATATCAGTGGAACAAACAGACACACACACACAGACAGACTAACTGCAAAGACGTCCATTGTGTGCTTCGCACACAGGAGTCAAAAAGCAGAGATTTTCAAAAAGTGTTAAATACATGTACATAATGAAATATTTGTTTTTCTTGATTTTATGGAAGAGAATACAAAAGTCAGAAACACGCTCCAAACATATCATATTTCACCAAAATGTTTCTCATTTAGACTCGCCTGTTTTACTTGTCCTGCTGGTGGCACCAAGCATCCAAAGTTCCAAATGTGTTGAAAATTGAAACATAATGACATCTGCATCAGCAGCCAAGTGTACAAGATGTTTCTATAGCAACAGATACAAAAAATTACCAAAGTAATACCGTATTTATATGATGGCAAGAATTCATTCCATATTGCCAATGGGCAATAATTCAGCACCTGAGTGATTTTTTGAGTACGCAAAAACAAATAAATACCTTAAAAACTAACATAGTAGAAAATTGTTTTTTCAAGACTACAAATTAAGAGAATACAAATCGGCAGGTTTAGTGTGAATTTAACAGACACAATGAGTGTCATTTTGATGTAGCCATGTAAAGTACACATATCTGCCGATAAAATAGTGATGTGACATCTAAGTTATGCCCACCATGAACATTCAGAAGTCTAATTAGTCTGGTTTTCAAAAATTCAAAATTTCGCAACTAAGAGCCTGGGTGATCTGGTTAGCTTGTACTGAAACAGGGTCAAGCAGCTTTTTAATCAAATACATGAATTCACAAGTCAATGGTGTAGGGATCACCAGAGATGTAAGATTAGGCACACATCCTGGGATGTTTTACAACACACTTGATATTAAATATTGAGTTAAAAATTTGTTTATTAAAGAAAATGATTTACATACATGTTGCGGAAATGGCAGAAGGATCCATCTCTTGAACAGATGTTTTGCTTTACTTCCAGACTTTTTCTTTGAGTACATTGGATTGACATCAGACAGTATCGACTCCTACAAA